GTTCGCATTCGACACATTTTTTTTCAATCTCTGTTAAATAACTGAAAGGTTATTAGGAGCCTGTCACATTGCACTCCCCTTTTACGATTCACTAATGATGTGATACCATTCCGTTGTCACCTAGTATCACACATCAGCCATCATACTGGGGATGGTGCAACTGACTACCACAAGCACCCCCTAGGCTGAGGTACTGGGTTTCTGTACAAGGACAGAAGGTCCTGTGAGCATGGAGTTGATCTATTCCACTAGCCATGGAAATGATGGCTGATGAAGACTACTTCACTCGCAATAAGGGATTCAGACTAACACGCATTTACATCGTTTGTTGTTATTCATATTTCGGTTTTTAATCCTTATCCACCGTCTTTCTGACTTAAAAATATCGTGATCATGACCCTGAGGAAAGCTCGATTCTCAAACGATATTGGCTTGAAATATATGAAGAGTACTGTATGAACGAAATATCAAGAAAGATCAAGGCACTCGACTGAATGAATTACTTACCCTTAGTGGCCGCATCGTCAGAGTCGAATTCAACGAAAATGCGCACAGCTTCATCATCGGGAGATTCGGGTAGTTCGAAAATCATACAAGACACGACTTTACCATATTTTGCGCACTCTTCAGCAGTCTCCGGCTCCAAGTCATCATCTACCTCTCCCGGACCACACATATTCCGCAGTAAGATAACCTTTATAAGAGAAACAGAGAAAGGGAACGCACTTAACGACAAATCAATCATGCAGCGTAAGGATTGTCGCATCCTCATCAATATGGATCGATGACGACCAAAGTGAAAAAATGATCGCCCTCAAAGAGATATTGCTTTACTCAGGTGGTAATTACACCGTGAATAATTTCTGATGTGACAACGGCACAAGAGAATTACACGTAATCATCAAAACACCTGGAAATATTAGAGGGGTGGAAGAATTAGTGGATCCGGTGCATCTCTTTGTGAGGGATACATAGTGAAGGCTGTGAACTAAAACTTACCAGGAAACAAAAGATATGCGAAATTCAAGCAATATAGCGAACAAGCTTGTTTTGGCAACTTCATCTTCAGGCATTTACAGTTACGTGTGTTTATATATAATGTAGCAATAAATAGGGTTGGTTCATTGAGGTTAAACTAAAAGAACAACAATGCGAAATTCGAACATTTTGCTTCCCAGTGGTTGAACTAAGGGTTGTGTGACGATGAAGTCTAAAAAGACATTAGTTTCATTTGTCAAAGCCACGTCTCGATGTAACGGTGCGTTAAACATGACTGGTTTTACGGATACTGCTTATAATCTACGTGTACACACGATGGTTTGGATCGCATTGGGGTAGTTCAGGTAAAACTAATCACAGTGCTATTTTCCCACACGGTTTTCTACATTGTCATAAACAATTAAACTCATAACAGCCTTACAGACGACTGAGTCGGTGTCATTTTAGTTCAAGGAACAACGCGATCATCGGTCAGCGATGTGTGGCGAAGACTTGATTGATACAATTGCAACCTGGTCGGAATTATGCATCATAGAAGTAACCGAGGCTGTATCCAGATCGACAAACCACAGTCAGACCACCTAGGGAAATTGGAAAATAACTCATTGTACCAATAGGTGTCCCAACCACATCGTCTGACCATGGTTGCCAGATTGATTAGATATCGAGATGAATTGGGCGTAATCAGCGTTAGATCCCGTATGATACGATGAACCGGGTATCGGCCGTAACAGATTGGGTTTTCAGGCAGCGAACCTGTGCAGTGTGGGTCAGGATTTGGTTAGCCGAAGTCTTCGACCGTGAACACCTCGTCCTCAGGAAAATTTATCTACTTGGGCTTCGAAGACCTGGCAGTATTCTGGTAAAGGGTAAATCATGGATTGTTCTTTTTAATGGAGATCGTCGCAGCGTGATTTTTTCACACGCACACATGACTTCAACTGAGACACGTGAAAAACTTCATATAGTAACGATTCAAATCAAATCATATACTCCACCAGTTACTTGCGCTCACTATTTAGGTTTCTGAATGTTTCCGAACAGGCCATAATCACCGGTATAGTGTCAAGCTGAGTAAGTCTGTTCGCTCGCAGCAGGCGTGCAGAAACGAGTATGGCTGGAGTGAGTACAGAAAAGGTGATCAGTTGCCAAGCGTTAGGTCCCAGATCGGATCCCCAGTTGGGCCAATAAATTCTGGCTACAAACGACGCTCAACGACGTTGAAACACCTGTTAGTATTTCCCTCCGTTCTACTAACAGTCAAATTCATCTTATGACAGTAGGATATTGAAATGAAAATCGATGGAAAATGAAATCATTTTTTCGCGATTCCCACAGAAAAACGTTAAAAAAACTTGTGTATAATTGAAAGTGCGAAAAGCGCGTTTAAGAAGAAAATTGGACCGACTCGGGGTTTTGTGAGACGGGCACTTTTTGATAACACGGAATCAAGTAAAAGATAGTATTACAGACTTACACAACTTCGATTTTCTGGAAGGGGTAAATTAGTAATAGTCTCCTCAGCCGCCGCATCGGCAGGCGGGATTGGAATTGGAGCAGCAATATTGGCTTGTTGACGCTGATGGTCTCGCTCGTGAATAATCTTTCCTCCACGGCGACTGGTCTTCTCAACTACCAACGCGGTGGACATACCCTGACTCTCTCGCCCCAAACCTTGACCTTCCCGATAACCCATTCGAGCCATCATCTTGGCCGCAACAGCATTACTGAGAACGACAAAAACGAGGAAGCGTTGTGAACAACGAGGACCAAGTTACTGTATTTTTCTAAAAAAATGTTATCAGAATTCGAGAGCAAAATTCTTAAAATGCCCAACCAAACCAGCTGATCACGTGTCAAGCAAATACTTGGACAGTTTGAATGAAGTTTACTTCACCGATACAGGATCAATGTTCATTTGAGTTCAACACGGGTGAAACGTTCTGCTCAAAGTTACATTCGGAGAACAATTATAATGTCGAACACAGCTGAAACACTTATGCGAGTTTCTTTAGATCCGTTGCGCACCGATACAGGAGGGATTCTGAATATTCTCATGGGAAAATGTTTTACAGAGCAGCGTTTTCTAGAAGCATTTCGATTTTCTAGGTAGAGGCAGAAAGTACGGTTCGCCCACCAGGTGTTTGTACCAACTACAGTACGAGCATTGTGGACNATTGTGGACGGGAGAACATTTTCATCAGCAGTGCCGGTTGCCCACTGAATTGCGAAGATTTTTATCGTGTATGTCACGGAGATTTTCAACCGGCTTAATGTTCTCCCCAGAGGTGAACTCAAATGACGTTAGGAACGGTAACCGGTAGGGTTTGTCCCGGATTNCGGTATAAAAACATGTTTCGTCGGGTAGCAGAGGCAGGCATGCATATAAATGTGAATGATTACACTATCGCATCAATCCGTGTACACTAAGCAAACCAGTCGATAACTGATTAGGCAAGGAGACTGAACTAGACTTTGAGAAGCTCATTCCACTTTTCAGGATCGCCTAGGAAAGAAAAACGATCCCAGGATTTCTATCACGCGAAGCACGAAGTCGAAGATCCAATACAAGAACTGAAAAGGTAAGTCGAACATTCTGACCGATTGCTGAACCGCTCACCAAGACAATGGAATAGCCTTACTAACTCCATGGAATGGCTTCGTGTTTGGTTAACTCCAACCCATTGTCGTCCTTGCGCATTTGATAAACTCAATTTTGCTATCTCCAGACAGCACAGCATTTCCTGTTTTTAACTATGTCGACAGGGGCAGGTTTTTGTCTCTACTCAGGGTGCTGGATTGTACCGTACCCCCAAGAGTATTTTACTGGTAGATCATACTCCACGAAGTTTTTTGGAAAAATTTCTGATTCGCTACTGGTCAATTCAGGGGTGCCCCAGGAAGCAATACTGTCCTTTTTCTTTTCTCTTTCTATATTCGAGACCTACCCACTAACCCAGACGATCTTCTAATCAACTATGCTGATGATGTCACTAAAGGTTCCAGATTCCTAGATCATCTCCATTTCTCTCGGTTTCAAACCGGTTTATATGCCTGAAGCTTCTAGTCTTAGTACTCCAAATTATCTCTCAATGCCTCTAAGTGTAGGGATATCACCTCACTAGCCAAAGGAGAACGGCAACATTTTTCTGAAAAGGATTATCCCGTACTCTATATTGACAACCAGTCTGTTCCCCCAGTACGTTCTCTGCAATACCTCGGTGTTACTATCTGCAAAGATCTCACCTGGACTTCACATCTAATCTCTTTTAAAAAGAGATGACGATTGTTTCTTTATTTCCCGCTTGCGATCCTTATGAGTTCCACTGCATTTACTCACCCAATTTGTATATTCTTGTGTTGCTACTCTTCTTCTTTACTGCTCCCCAGTTTTATTTGCCGGTCTCAAAGTTAAAGATTACACAATTCTACCCCAGTTTGTTAAAATTATTTCGCGCACAAGCGGTATTCCCTATTTACATTTGCTTAACTTTATCGCCGACAAACATTTCACCTCTTGTGAAAACTTCGGCATCCATTAGAGAAAACTTTTTGAAATTCCTATGTAAATATTTATTTTTAAACTTTTACGCCATATTCCTCTTGAATTTACGATACTGTATTGTACTTTTTCTCTGTGACTGATAAATGATCGTGGTGTGCAAGGAACTGAAAGTCCATCCATTAGGATGAATAAAAGCGACTTTTGACTTTGGAAGAAACCCCGAAGATCACCATGGCAATTAGGGGCTGAAAAACAGGTCTCACGAAAAACATTGACGCTAATCAACCCACTCACCGGATCGCATCACACAGACATTTCTAAAGGATCGGATCACTTCTATTCTGCTCTTCATTCTTAAAAAGGCAACAGAACAATCTATGGCGACCACAGAAGGATTGGTCTGATTAGCGATGTTACCAAATTTCTTGTTGTGATTCTGCTGAAGTGCTTCAACTCGACCAGAGGTAGCCGCGCCAGGTCAAATTGAGGCGGCCTGTCGTGAAAGGGGATGTACGGATCAAACCGGCATACCCTGAAGGATTTTGGAACACCGTCACAGATTCCAGAGGCCAATCACTGTTTGCCGCATGGAGTTTCGTTTCGTCTTCGATTATTGTTTGTATCACGGAAGCGAAACACGGATAGGGAAGTGATGGACTTCTTCGATCACTGGTGTACACTTCGGGTAACGAAAAGATGCCAGGATAGGATTTCCAACGAAAATATCCGTCCGCTCCACATAGACAAGGCAATCCGTGCGCTTTTCAGGAACAGAGATGTCTACAATGGTGTGGCTACGTCCTCAGAAGGCCGTCGATTGAACTCGTGAAATTAAGACTTGTTGGATGTGAGGGTTACCGGAGTTACCAGCCGTGGACCAGGATCTACACAATCCTGGCTGGCATGGAGCGGTGATAGGATCTTCGATGTTATGAAATCCATGCAATAGAATCCTCCGATAGCCGTGCATTACTAGAGACATCCACAAAACCACCTTATCCCTACACCAGAGGTCATCGCTTAAAAGCAAAATCATGATAACTTCAGGGAGTTAAAACTTAGATCTTCCACAAAGTTGCGCGGAAACTGAAACTTTGGTCGTGAANGAGAAGACATTTTTGTAGCCGAAGCAAACAAGATGAGTTTGGTCAGATAACTGTTCTAATTCACAGTAGGTCAGGTAAATGCTTGGAGCATGGACAAACATTAAGTATTCCCACGAAATGCAATATTCCAATGGCACTGCAGAACCAAGAAAAAAAACGAGAAAGAAACTTACATGCCAAACAAACTAGTTGCGGAACTGGGTTCTGGTTCTTCTGTTTCTGTAGAGCCAGGTTCTATGGTAGTATCTTCAAGAAGTACAGATGGCGGGGCGATAGCAGCTCCTTTGGATGGGGGCGGAGGTGGACGGCGTCGACGAGCGCCAGAAGCTGCGGTCGGTTCAGCTCCATCATCTTCATCCTCATCCTCTTCATCAGAGAAGTCCGGGCGACGACACATTCCAGAGGGATCACCGTGATCATTACGATTCGAACTTGCAGCGATAGCAGCTTCCTGCGCAAAAGAAAAGGAGGCTTGAATGTTGAAGCTACCGGGTTGGTGAATAAGACGCAACAATGCAAACTTAGATATGGCACTGGAAACAAACCATCACCACACGGTTGAACAGTTTCGCTTTTCGTCAATGAATCTCAGAATGATGAAAACTTTGAAAGCAACCGAAAAAATAGATTATCAAGCTAGGAAGCGCACCGGACTGGGTTACATTGACTTGAACTATAAGATGTGGAGCAATCTACTTTCATTCCCCAAATGGAACGAAATAATTTTGTCCGGAGAACATGACGAGCGGAATAAAAAGTGAAACTAACATCTTGCCTGTAAACATTAGTAAATGAATGGCGGGGTGAAATTGCCCTGAAAGCAAACGACCAGCTCAACAGTTCTGGTCGCTTACCAAGAAAGCAAAACCAATGGCGCGCTTTCGAGGAAATTTTATCCAACCATGCACATTCTACTCATAATAAAATCAGTGAGATGGACAGCCGTACGAAATTTGCTGAGTTTAACGAATTTCAAAGAACAAAATATAAACGTTCAATCTTTATAATGGATCTCGGAGACGAGCCCTGAATGAGATGCAATTGGAGATGCTACAGTGATGTTCTAGAGTGGTTTATTAAATGCACACGTTTGCGTGCGACTGGAAATTATGACACTAGCAATTTATCCCATTGCCAGGAAAATGACTACCCCCAGGAGCTAGACTTGTTGTATCAGTAATAACACACCGACTCCGTCAGCCAATCTAGGGGAAACCTGACAATGGTGTATTCAGATATAGCGTAATTAAAAACAAAACACAGACTGAGGACACTCGTGACCAAGCACCGAAAACATCCTAATGATAGGCTTTTGCGGGCTCCAAATGTGTCGAAAGCACAGAGCGGATAGCAAACACATCAGTGAGGGGAGCTAGTTCAAATAAATATAAACAGGGGAGAACAGAAAACAAACGACATATCAACAGTTCATATGAGAGCATATCAGGGGAAGAGATGCGAAGATCGATTCGGGCGTTACTGCAATTTGATCCTTAATGCAGGTATTGTGCTCACAGCCACAAAGGAGTGAGATCATCTTACATGTTTCTACAGTACCAACCATAATTGTAAATTAAACTCCGCGATTTAAGTCGTGGTTGGGATTACACAATATCGGATTGCCTGTAGAAGAACAGTAGATCATAAGCATCGGTAAATGAGAACCAACTAACAAATTTTTATCAATAGTGTGTGTATGCAAAATGTTGAGTAAAAGATGGAAAAGAAAACAATGCGAAGTGATCACGCAATAAATAAAGAGATCAAAAAGCCTGCCGACACTATCCATAATCAACGAAAAATAAAGATGAGTAGGCCAAACAGATAAATTTGGTCCCCATTTTAAAAGAAATGATCAAAAACAAGTCAAGCGAGTTTCACGACGAGCAAGCAAGCATTAGGTTAGATATCCATTCGATTATTCATTTACTGAGACAGTTGCAACTTCGAGTTCACAGATCACACAACAAAGGAACACGCATCAACCATTGTCGATAAACACATACGCAATTGGTTAAGGGTGAACAGCGACGAAAACACTCCCGGTCGAAAGCTCATGATTAAACGCCAGTTCGAAGGAGTGCATCGGTAGCCTCGCGATCGCAAAATAGTCACATTTTAAAGGTTATGTCAGAATACAAGTCTCATCACTGCTGATTTCAAATTACGTATGAATCTATAGTGAAGCTCTGGTAGCCCCAATTAAATATCGTACCTGCAGGAGTAAAAACGAAGGCACTGACTTAGGTCTTGTAAAATAAGACTTTTTGGGGTCTTGGAGATATCGATATCTTGATTTATATACATTTATGAACTTAAAGAAAGCATTCGAAAGAACATCTTCCAATTTCTTTTCATTTTTGTACACTGTCATGGAGGAGCACTTGCTTCACTCGGTTTTCATTTTGAATATGTCCAAAGATGAGCTGGAGGAGGAGACCGATCCAGAGTCCGTTGGGTTTAATTATACGAACACGTACAAAACCGCGCGCATGGATGTGCGAGAAAACCTGTCAACTCGGAGTGGCGAGAGTTGCCGGAATACTGTAGGTCATCAAATCTGATCGAGCGGTTAATGGATCAAACGGCAATGCCAGTCTGGACACAAAACCCTGCTAATGATGGTGTATTCACAACTATGTGCCCTTGCTTGCGTGAGATCCGGGTGTGAATGAGCAACGGGGAAAAACAGAGATCATTGCCACGGGGCTCTCGTCCGATTCTGATAGACCGGTAATGTCTTAATGAACGTTTCAATTCAATACTGGCGCGAGGGAAGTGATAATGAGCGCAGACAGACAGATAAACTGAATTAGACACAACTATCTGTACGCAGACGATCGATGCGTGCGTGTAGAAAAAGTGAACATACAGTAGATACTATATACAATGGAGGGTTATGTGGACTGATGAAACAAGTCTGTGAATAGAGTATGCATTTTATGAATTTTTAGAAACTGATGAAATTGTTAAATAGTCTGTGCTAAATAGAAGATAGGTTGGTGTTACCAATTTCATCCACTGTTTCGAACAGTTGCAAACAGCTGTGTATGTCTACAGCGAGATGAGAAACCGAAACAAAAGGGAGGATTATGAAGAGGAAAAGCATTGAATGAGTTATATTAGGATTCCCAAGAATGAAAGGAGTCGACGTAATTCAGTTCTGACCACCAAATCAGAGAAAGCCTTCTACTAAGATGACGAACAACGTAAACTAATAAATTTTGATTGATAATGACGCATCAAATGACGGAATAATGAAAATTATCATCAAAGAAACCGTTAACGATCCAGTTCCTTGTTTTGAATACCAGCGCAGCGTCAGTGATGATCAAGCGGTATATGTCGCTATCAATTAGACATGGTCATTTTTGGAGTTGCCTGGTACTGTTAGTGTTCAACCGTCATTTCGAATAATGGAATGAAAGATTATATACTATTTGAGCGTTGTCACAAACTAAAAGTGAAAAAGTTAAGAAGTAAGGAGGAATGGAAACCTGTAGAGAAATTAGTACCAGTACACCGATCTATTATGGTAATCTAGTGGAAAGCACACGCAGTCGTTTTACTTGAAAGTGTGTGCATGATCCATAGACCTATAAAACTATGAGCAAAAGATGCCAGATTGTTCAGTTG